TTCAACTTCTCAAGTCCACAGTTGGCTGCCCTGGCCCCATCTAGGAGAGATGGATACCACGGTGGATTGATTTAAATCATCAATCTTAATCATAATTTTAATCAAAAAGCAGGATTGAAACCTTGATTTAAATAATTGATTTTAATTTTGTTATGCATTTGTACTTTTTAGTTATTTTTCTAAAGAGAGGTTCATTCTCATTGGTTGGTATATCCATTTAAAATATGTAGATTTGCAAAGAAATATGGATTTACACTGTTCGTTGGTAGTTTTTGCTAATCAGGAAGATACACTATTAGGGTTACCATATGTCCGGATTTTCCCGGACATATCCGGCTTTTTGGTCCTCAAATCTCCGTCCGGGAGGAATTTCCAAAAAGCCGAACATGTCTGGGAAAATAGGGAGGCATGGTAAGGGGACCCCGAGTGAGAGTGGCTGCAGCAAAGCCAAAACTAACAACTCCCCCGATCTGCTGGGGCACGGAGGTGGCAGCGGCACCCGAGCGCGCAGCCGCCTCCTCCCTGGGCTCCAACTTTCCCGGCTCCTGCCACTCTCCACTGCGGCGGGGTCCGAAGTAACTTCCCCAGCGCAACAGCAGCCGGAGCCCGGGGTGTGGGAGGGAGGAGGGGGAATGCGGGGTGCTCAGGGGAGGGGGCGGAGTTGGGGCGGGGACTTTGGGGAAGGGGTTGGAATGGGGGCGGAGTTGGGGTGGGGCCGGGGCACCCGTGGAGTGTCCTCTTTTTTCACTGTTTAAATATGGCAACCCTATACACTATGCAGTATTTATATACATGTATCCAAGCAATTATATAGCTTAATTTACATTTATTCAGAGTCTTAATTTTTACTCTCATGTTAGAAAATGGTCAGAGGCGTTTCTTATTTAATTATTTTTTTTTTACTCATTTGTGTCAAGCTGCCTTTAGATGGAAATTGGAATTCAATTAAAAATATATAAAAACAGCATTTAAATGTTTTTTTTTTTTTTTAGATAAATGAAACTACCTTAAATGTGATGGATACATAAGGGAAAATGTTTATCAAAACATGCTTTGCATTTAAAACTAACTTCTTTATTAAATGAAGGAATTACTAATGCTGGTAAATTGAGCTAATTATGTGTCTGGTTTCCACATCCTTCAAGTTTTTAGAACCAGTAGATCTCATTCTTTTCCACCCATATATTGGAAACAGAAAGCAAGCTTCTTTTTTTTTTTTTTAACTCTGAGTCAGTTTCTCAACTTTGAATGAACTAGTTCAAATGAAAAAAAATTCTTTCTGTATCTGCAAAAAAGGCTACTGCCATCAAAAACTGGTTTATCACTTCAACAAACTCTGGGTTCAGGTGCTTAGCCAATGACTTCCAACATTTCAGTGGTTTGACTTTCTTTAAAACTTTGGCAGCAAACATATATTAATTGAATGGTTGATCTCCAGCCCTGACTTATTGTGTTTGACACGACTGATTGTTAGATACCGATGTCATAGCAGCATCTACCCGAGTACTTTGTATTGAGAATATTGGCAAGAAAATGAGGTGGCGTAAGTGAATCTACTTCTCCATTGCCTGCAATTTAACTTTATTGTTGGGTATTTCTTTCTACTGTTTCTTGAATTTTTTTTCCAAATTTCAATAACATTGTAATAGAGCAGCTATCTTTTTGTAATTTGTCTAAAGTGATGGAAATAGATTTCAGTATATCATGATAGCTTGACCATCTTAGAACATATTAAAATATACATAGCTTTGTCTACACTAGGCTATTAGAATATAATGAATACTTCTAAAACCCCTCTAAATTGTACTTTAGAGAGAGCCTGAGGAGGAGCATTGGAAAGGGAAAAGTGAGTATTTTTCAGATGGGAGTAAGAGTGGGGAGATAGTGGAAAGGAACTGAGAGGGTTGAGTGAAAAAGGGAGAGCCTGAGAGTGATCAGCTAAAAAAGAGAAAGTGAGATTGGGAGGAAGGGAGGGAGAAGGGGATAAGAAGAGCCAAAGAGATGGGAAGGAAGAACAAACTGTAATGCAAGGAGAAAGCAGAAGGAGAGGGAAGGAAAGATGGAAGAACAGACATTGGAGGTTGGGGGAGGGGGAGAGGAAGGAAAAGGCCTGTCTATATATCACAGCACTGCACTTTAAATCATATTGTGGCCTCCTTCAGGGCACCCCACTCAGGTCTCAGGCCCCTTAGCTATCACCTGATTCAGAGTGGGAACCTGTGTTCCTCGCTCTCCAGACCTGGGGATTTAGGCTGCAATTCCTTCTGCAATTCACTGTGGTCATTTTAGCAAGTCTGAGTTTAGTTCAGGACCTTCCATCCTAGTCTCTCCCAATGACAGGGCTAACCAGTGACCAGCCAGCCTTCATAATACTTTTGTTCTGAATAAATACATTTTCTCTATAAAACAAAGTATCTTGAAAATGATTAACAGCTTATGTGCCTGCCTGTTTTAGGAGGTGTCACCCATCTGTTAGGGGTTTGGGATTAGAAAGAGATGTCCATACTGCAAGTGTTACTTATGGAGAAAGGCTTTCTCAATGAGGAAGGCTTTGCAGCATTTCCTACAGATGGTCAGACTGGATTTGCCCGATCGCCTCTGGAAGATTATTCCATAGCTGTATCCCATTGACTCAGAATGTTTTGTCTCCCACTATACATGCTTCGCCCTGAGCTTTTTGATCTATGTTGTCAGAGAAGTGCAGCTGTTGCAAAAATGGAATAGAGTATGGGAAAAGCGAAAAAGAAGGCAGAACAAAAATAAGTTGAATGCCAAAATTTTATGATAAATAATATGTGAATGTTTGAATTTACACTTTGTGTATGTCTAGATATTGCCAAAGCATCTCTGCCAGGGATGGCTTATCTCTGGTTCATCAGTTTATTTCTGAAAAATCATTTTTTTTGCCTTTTGAAATGAGTGTACACCAAATGACAGATATTCTGACAAGCTTTCCCAGGGGACACTACTTCCAACATTTCTGTGAAGGTTACCTCCCTCTTTCCCTCTGCAAACTACTCACTTTGAACCCTGCAGTGTAAGGGAGGAATGTAGAGGGAGATAGGAATGTCTGGGAGGGGGGAGCTTTAGTGACATCGCCCACTGAAATGCCAGCAACCATTAATACAGCCCTTAGTGGTGCCCTGAGAATGGAATTTGGCCTCTAGTCAAAAGATTGTGAATGTCACTAATATGCTCTAACGAGATAAACAAGTTTTTGTTTCTCTGCTAGTCCCAGGTCTACTTCTTTCTATGCTGTTGTGCAGGTAGTGACTAATTTGTAAATTGCATGTGAATGGATCTTTTAAAAAGAGAAACAAACAAGCCAAAGGCTCCTGTTTTTCTGGGAGTGATTCACCATCTAGTATTAGGGGGTAGCCGTGTTAGTCTTTATCCACAAAAACAACAAGGAGTCCGGTGGTACCTTAAAGACTAACAGATTTATTTGAGCATAAGCTTTCGTGAGTAAAAAATCTCTGAAGTGAGGTTTTTTGCCCACGAAAGCTTATGCCCAAATAAATCTGTTAGTCTTTAAGGTGCCACCGGACTCTTCGTGGTTTTTACCATCCAGTATTGGTATATAGTGTGATTTTTTTTTTCTTTTCCTTTTTTGCTTTAGAATAGGCTACCAATGAGTCTTTAACGCCTTTACACAAAAAACTTTGTCCATAAGACACTGAAACAAGGATGCCTTTCCTAGCCCACACTGGGCCCCTAGTGCGCATATCATTAAACCACGTGGGATGGGAGAGAAATAGCAGCCTCCTTGGAGGCCAGTCCTTGCCCAGTGCACAAAGACTCGTTCTGAGGTGGTAACTAGGGGAGCAGTGTCAGCAGGAGCTGGGCTTGAGAGAGAGGTATCTTCAGAACCCCGGACATCTATCTGTGATACAGGCGATGGTTGGCTGATGTCATGTTAGTTCTAATTTACTAACATGATGTCAACCAGTCGTTCCTTTGATCACTTGGTCTTTCCACTCACCCTTTGTCTTGTCTATTTAGATTATAAGGTCTTTGTAGCAGGGACGGTTTTAGTATTTGTACAGCATCCAGCACAATCCTGATAGTAGTCTTTTGGGTGCTATCATAAAGAACAAAAAATAATTCATGTTCAGGCTGACCCCCTTATTACCAGGAGATGAAGTACAACAATGAAAAATATGGAAAAGTGTATTTTTAATAGAGATCACTCCCCAATTTGGTGTTCATGGTATGAAGTTATATACAGTGCACGTTATACATTTTTTATTCCATATATGATCCTTTGCATGGTTATTGCTGGAATACAGGACAAATTGAGTCCTATATTGAGTTGAGACAGAAAGTGGGATATGGGGCAAAAAAAAAAAAAAGTTACATTCCTTAAAACAAGAGTCTAGTGCAGGGGTTCTCAAAGTTTTGTACTGGTGATCCCTTTCACATAGCAAGCCTCTGAGTGCAACCCCCCTTATACATTAAGAACACTTTTAAATATATTTAATACCATTATAAATACTGGAGGCAAAGTGGGGTTTGGGGTGGAGGCTGACATAATAAACTTGTGACCCCCTGAAGGGTCCCGACCCCCAGTTTGAGAACTCCTGGTCTAGTGTCATCCTAATTAATTCTAGTGCAAAATACAGAGCATTTTATTTAAATCTCTGTAGTAAGTATATGTTGATTTTAAGAAAAAGTTAGCATCTTTTAGGAAGCTGACAACCACTGGAGAGTATTTGAGGCTTGTTATAGAATGTCTAAAATATTTTGTTTGAAATTGATACCAGGAAGCAGAGAAGTACTAAAATGGATGTGTAACCAATTGGAAAGAGCTCAATTTAGTTGAGAATTTCGGATGAAAATCTTTTGGTTTGGGACTAAAATTTAATTTTCCCCATCAAAGCTTTTTTTAAGTAATATTTTTAAATGTTTTCTTTCTTGTAGACAATACCATTTCTCATACAATTCTGTAGATCATCAGTAAACATAACAATTTTTCTTAATGTGTTCCTTTCACTTTACAGAAAGACCCAGATTATTTGCAGCTTTGGCTGGACAGTTTTGTTTCTAGCTATGAACAATTTCTGGATGTGGACTTTGAGAAGCTTCCCACGAGGTATGTAGAAATTCAGATCTGCTCATCTTGTGTTTGATACCTGGCTGTGTTCTGGGCTCCAAATCCTGTTTAAAATATATATTATAAAATGGTTTGTTCCACGCCAGTATTTCTTGACTGGCACTCCCAGTCCCATTCTTTAAAGGTCAAATTTGGGTTGCTAATGATGAAACTAGGTAAACAGTGGTATTTGCATCAAACCAGGAAATGGCGTCAACATAAATTTTTTTTTGTTAGCAGAAATTTACTTATTACAGCTCTTTGTACGTTGCTGAAATAAGTATTCTGCAGTAAGCCTGGTGCGTGAAATAATATTTTGGTGATTTAAAAGAATATATAAGGGAAAGATCTGGATAGTAGATATAGTTTTGCAATTTAATCTCTGGGATTATTTTAATATTAAGGATGAGATAAAATTCTAAATTTGACTAACATAGTTGAAAAAATGTGAAAATAAGCTGCTTCTTTACTTGTCTGCTTAGACCTTAGTACAGGCTTTTGTATATTGTCCTGCAACAGCAGTGTTACCAGCCCCAAGCATTGAAAAATCAGGAGATTGATTTGAAGCATGAGATTTTAAAATATAACAAATGTTTGGTTCTTTTATGCCTTCTAGTTTTTGAGCCTTCAGGGTTCATGTTCTCAAGCTTTTCTTCACAGCCATGAGGGCTAGAATTTTTTTTTTTTTTTTTTTTTTAATGAAAGCATGGCTTTAGGAACTAGGGCTTTTAAGAAAAACCAAATACTGTGAGACTCAGGGAAAAAATCATGAGAGTTGGCCATACCCTGTTTCCCCGAAAATAAGACAGTGTCTTATATTAATTTTTGCTCCCAAAGATGCGCTAGGTCTTATTTTCAGGGGAGGTCTTATTTTTCCTGGAGCTTCGGGGCCTTATATTCCGGGGTGGCCTTATTATTGGGGAGGTCTTATTTTCGGGGGATGTCTTACTTTCGGGGAAACACGGTAGTACTATAACCAATATTACACTGTCTTAAGTGATAGTGATGAATGCAGAGAATGAGGCTCCCTGTACTGTGGTTCTGGTCCTAAATCCATTACAATCAATGTTGGATCAGGTTTTATTTAGGTATTAGCAGTATCCACAATTGTTGCAAGGAAACACTGAACCCTGAAATTGGGTCCTAGCAGCTTAAAAGTGTACTTTTTCTTAGCTATGTGTAATAATACTTTTCTCAGTGAATATAATATATAATATATAGAATGGATTATATCCAATTTATAACAAAAACTAAAAAACTAAAAATGTTCTGTTTTGTATTGTGTAGTCTGTCAGTTTTGCTTTGGTGAGGCAAAAATGTGTCCTCATAGGGTTGTATTTTTTTGCCTAGAAAGTGCATAACTTCTAAATTGTCGTTCTGTAACATGGTTTAGTATGAGAAATGGTAACAGTGGAATAACTGGACTAAATTAGAAGTGTTCAGAAGTGTTTATCAACTACAGAATTGTTTTTCAATAGCAACATGGCAGAAGATTAAAAGGAAAAAACATAAACAAAGATAAACTGTGCAAAAACAATGACAGTGTCTTCATTGTGCACAGTGATAGTTTCAAGAGCTCGATATAAAATCTGGTATTTTGCTGAGATTAATGACAGGATTAGTCTTGTGACCTAAAAGAGTAGGACTGTATAGGATTGGACTCATTTTGTAACAGATGTAGAGAGAAAATGTCTAGGCAAAATAAGGGCGAGGGCAGGTGACTATTGTGTTTTGATGGCCAGAAATAAATATCCTACTATGAGACAGTTTATGTTCATTTTAACAATAAATCGATGTTTCTGTCCCTGATTGCGCTTAGATATAATCACACTTGGTGACATTCTTCTGGATTTATTTTGTCATACATTATAAAATGTTGTAACTTGGTGCAGTATTTCAAAGAGAAGAAATACGAAAGAATCAGAAACAAATATCTCCATATTTATTTTGAATTATCACTTTATAATCTGCACATTACACCATGACATTCACCTGTATCAAAACTAATCTCTAATTTGTGTCCCAGAGTTGCTTCCCCTTTATACATTTTAATCAAAAGCTAATTTTCCCTTCGATTCTGGAAGTGGTTGTGTTCTGCAAGCTGAAATGAGGAATTGTTGAGGGAGAGAAAGATGCTATGTGTACTTTCATCTGATAGGATCTCAAAATGCTTTACAGCTACTGCATATGCATGCAGCACTTGATAGACATTTCTGAGTGAAAGGCAGCTGAGAATGAGTGTTGCAAAACAGGGCAGGGAGAGGAAATTTTGAACAAACGAAGGCACCCTACTTTAATGAAAAATGCCATGGGATTTATGTCCATGAAGAGAATATGGGACTTCAGTTTTATCAGCCAAAAGACCAAAACACAGCTGACTTCATGGAACTCTAATTTACTTGTCTCTGAGGCATGAAGGAGTGAGTTGGCACTACTGAGATTTGAATCTAAATGGGTAATACCCCAAGTGGGTCTGATTATAAGAACATCCTTTTCTAAACATAAAAATATATTTCCTTTTAAATCTTGTATGCCAAGTTTGGGAACCTGAAAAAATCACATTTTGTGTAATATATATCTCAAAAAACTCGAATTAATTTGTTTGTTCTGGAAGTGTGGATAAAACATATATGGTAAGGTATTATAGGCCAGAGAAAGAACTATTGGTTGTAGAGTTGGTCTTCTTTTGCAACCCCATGCCTCAGCATGATTGCTACCTATAGTTTTTTATAGTGTTTTATCTAGTTTAGATTTAAGTGTTTCAAGCAGTGGGGTTTATACCACTTCTATTGGGAAGGTGAGTACTCAGCAGTATAATAGATCTGTTGACATCTTGTACTTTGAACATGAGAGATTGTCGCTCTACTATTTTGCATTTTTCAAAGCATCTATTGCATCTTACTATATTTACAATTGAAAGGGTAAAGTCTTACCAGCTGGTTAGAGGTTATTTTCATTGCAGAATGGGGAAGAAATTTTTCACTCTGTTTAATAACTGTAATAACTGCAAAGGTAGTTAGAGTATGTTATCAGTTTTCCTTTTGTTTTTGGCTTACATGCTGTTAAATTTACAACAAAGAAGCTTAAAGGAAGTTGTTGAAAAACAAATCAAACATATTTTTACATACTTTATGGTATGAGTTCAAACCCACATAAAAATGATTTAGGACACAAGAAAGTCACATAAATAGCTCATTTATCAGGAGTTTATGGCTAAAAAGTGAAGTCTGATTTTCTGCAGTTTTTATATTTTTAAGTGTGTGCTTCCTTTTGTAAAAATGCTAATCTGTGGTTAAACTGCAGCAGGATGAACAACAGTTGGAGACCGGTTTGACTCCATTCACACAATTAGTGTGGTGGATTAACATGATCACCCATGTTAATGCAAAGATTGAGAAAATAATTAATGAGAGAATTATATTAGGTCCACGGATGCATCAGATTTCTTTCACTTCCAGGTTTTGATGATTTGCTGATAGTCTGACATTAAAGACAGCGGTTCACAGTTACCAATGAATTGCATCTCTGACCCCTCCTAATCTCTTCTAGTGTAGCCCCCTTCATGTCTCTGCTATCACATTCTCCTATTGTAGGTCTGCACCGCATTGTAAACTCATGTCTGGGATCCAGGCTTCTGGACTCAGTATTTCCAAGCCAGCGCTTGAGTGTCCACACAGCATTGTAAACCTGGGTTTACAGTGGCTGGACCCAAGTCTGACAGCCATGCTCACACATCATACTGTGCTATGCGGATCTTCTGATTCAGATCTGTAGTTTGAGCTGTGTCCATATTGCAAAATGACAGGGCTTGGACCTGAGTTACAAGGGAAATCAGCTTCTGACCAACACTCCTAGCAGGGTCCTAGAACCGGGTCCCGAGTGCTTGTTGACCTGAGTCAGACAGATTTGTGTGTGGACAGAAGGGGTGCTTGGGCTCAAACGCAAGTCAGAGCCCAGGCTTAGTCTGCAGTATAGAGCATACTCCTACTCTCAGGCCTGGCCCTGTGTTGCAGTCCCTTGGTATTAACTATGATTTCCTCAACAAGTCTGTCTTAGGCTCAGATCTGCATTTCTGGAGAAGGAAGTGAGATGGCTAGTGAATCAGTACACATGTTAGAGTTTTATCTTGGCTTGTGGATGAACTTCTGACCCATGTCTTTAAAAGAAAAAATACATAAAAAAACAAACTTCGGTTAATACCAGATTTTCAAAAGATTTTCCAATTCCCCTTTGAAATAGTCTTGTTTACACAGCTAGCTATACTAGGAAAAGCTGATACTGTGCTTTATGTACCCTCCACAAATCTAACTGATTTGCTGTGGTGATATGCTAAAATCTTGCTCCATGAGGGATAAGAAATCTTGCTTGTTTCAAATAAACCTGTATTATATTTTCAGTCAGAGCAGCTCTAGCAAAACGGGCATTTTTTACTCTGCACACAATCTCTTGTTATAATTTTTTCTCCAGTGGCTTGTGCAGTAGCACAGAAAATGTGGAATTGGTAATAACTTCCAGTCTTGCTCCCTGAGGCTTTTTTTCCCTCTGTTTCATCAGTCAGGCTGTCTTCGGGTAGGGTGACCAGATGTCCCGATTTTATAGGGACAGTCCCGATATTTGGGGCTTTTTTTTTTTTATTTGGGCTTCTATTACTGCCCGCCCCCGTCCCGAATTTTCACACTTGCTATCTGGTCACCCTATCTTCGGGGGGGTGTGGCATGAGGGAGTTGCTGCTTACTTTACTGTGCAGCATTTAAACTTGCTGAGAAACTACAGTTGGCCTTTTTGGAAAGCTACTTGTCCAGCTTAATTTCAATTATCAATGGAGAAATTTGTGGCCTGTAAAGGATTCTGTGTACATTGGCTTATGCAAAATGTGGACATATACACTGGTATCTAGAAAGAGGCGGCTGCCTTCACAGAAAGATGCATTTCTTTTTTGGAGGTTGCGTGGAAGGTAGTAGTTGCTCTGTCTCTGTATGTCTACTTCAGACAGCACTTGTATAGCATTCTAAAGGATCAGGAGAGTGTGCACAGCTGTACTGTATATAAGTACTTTGAGTTCAGCTAGATGGTACTAATATTCTGGAAATATACAAGGTTTACATATATACCAGTGGGTTCTACTTAGGAGAGAGAGTCTCTCTGATTGGCTTAGCAAACTATATCAATTTCCCCTCTTTTCCTCTGCAGAGATTTCTTCTCCAGTGTTAACAGATACAAATAATTTTGGCCCCAAATAGTGCTATATTTTCCTTTTAAATATTGGTAGGTACCATCTGAATAGTTGTTCCCCCCTGTCCATAAAGTTCCACTTTTGGAGTTGGACCTGATTTTAGAGGTTGATTTCTCTCGCTTACCATATCTGGTTCTAACTAAAGGCTGTTGCAGGCTGGGCCCTCCAGTTGTTGCCCAGCTCTTCATTTTCCCATAACCATTTACCATATGTTTCCCTGAAGTATCCCCCCAGGTCAGACAGCTGACATGACAGAGCATCTCTTCATCAGCTGAAAGATTGAATGAATAGCTCTTGGACTGAAAACTGCACTCCCTGCAAGTGAGATAATGACAGAAGGAGTCTATAGTAAACATTGCTGCTCCAACGCATCTGAGCATTTCCAGGATGTTATTGAACCAGAATAATCTATATAGCAGTCTTGTGTGTTCTGGCCTTGCCGCTGTTTTTGTCTGTAATTTTCTTCTTCTGAGCCTCTCTGATATTTTACACAAATCTTTTGAACATAGGAAGATCAACTGGTGAGAATGCATAATGGTTCCCTAGGGTAAAGTCTGGGCATGGCAGGACTCTGATACATTGATTGTGCCAACATAACAGTATTGTGCTTTCTGTTTCTTTGCTTTTTAAAAATAAGTAGAGGAACAAATCTATTTCCTGGTTTGATCTCCAGAAACTAGTAATGATGGGGCAGCAATTATTAATGCACCAGCCAAGTGCCAGGAATCAGATGGATTGCTGGGGATTTCTGTCTGCCAGATCCCTTATTTTCCAGTTTTCTCACATGTAATATTCCCATTAAATTTCTTAGTTGTGTGTCTTGTATACTTAGGATACTGAAAAATTTCACTGTGGATATTTAGTAATTGGGCTTCAGTGACTACTTTGTAGTTAATGTTGTATTTATTTGGTTACTTTTGATCCGTACCAGTGATTGTAAAAATTTTTAATAGGGTGTCCCATACCTTAATATAGAAAATATATTTTATATCACCTTCTCCTTGATTTGGGATTGCACGGACCAGTTCCCCTAGTTTTTCCTGTGGCAACTAGAGCAGTTACTTACATGGAAAAGTAATGTTAAGAAAACCATTTAATGTATTTTTAACTGCTTTTCAATACAATTTAACATCCGAGAACAAGGAGGAAGAGCCGGCACAATGTGACCAGGCAGTTTTTTGTGGATCACCAGCAAATGTTTATGAACCACCAGTAGCCCCAATTTAGGATCATGTGTATTATAGTGGCTTGAAACAGTGCACACAGATACACAAGATGTACAAATAAAAAAAATGTATTTACATACATTAATTATTTTGTGTATTTTTTTTTAAAGGGTGGATGATATACCTCCTGGAATATCACTACTTCCTGACAATATTCTACAGGTCCTGAGGCTTCAGCTGCTACAATGTGTCCAAAAAATGTCAGATGGACTAGAGGAGGAGCAACAAGCCCTGTCACTTTTACTTGTCAAATTCTTTATCATCCTTTGCAGGTATTTATTCGGTCTGGCTGCTTCTTTCACCAGTGTATTGTTTTGTCTGGGAAATCTTGATTTACTTACAATGATATAGATCGAGATTCTTAATACACATACAGTGTGACAAAACATTGTCCAGTAGAGACAGAGACTCTCCATATTGCAGTAAAAACACATGGTATAATGAAAGAAAAAAAAAACAGTAATATGGATAAAGAAGGCCATGATGAGAAAGGGACTGAGTGGAGAAAATGACAGCATATTATTTGTATTTAAACTGTGTATATGAAAGTTCAAATCTATGTTACATAACGGAAACAAGATTTTTTTTTTTAAACAGATTGCTAATATGTTTTTGGCCATGAAATAACTTCCAAGGGAAAGTTGATTCACATTCTTAACAGATTTACATGCCCCTTAAATAGTTTAGGAAAATATTTTATTTTATATTACTGGCATCTTCTGAAACTTTTATCTTATTTTTTGTGATATTGCTTAACCATATACCAAGCAACCATATAAGTAGAGGTCTAAAAATGTCCATTCCTCCCAAATTTTAAATTGTTCCTTAACACAATTTAGAATACAACAGTTTTATCTCTAACAATGTCTATTGAGACAGAGCTGCTCTAATTTACACTCTGCGACTGTCCCCTGAGGAATATCTACTAAATGAGCCTAGCTCTCTCACTGGCCATGTCCACTCCTCACCTCCAATATGTCCCCATGAGGTGGTCTAGAAAGGACCCAGCTGTACTCCGGCCAGAGAAATCTCCTTTTGCTGGGGGTATTCCTCAGGAACCTTTTCCAACCTTGTGGTCCTTTCACCCTGTCGGAACAATGAAAAGGCACTGTATGGCAAGAGACAGTTGTGCCCAAATTGTGTTAAAATTCTAAGGATAAGTTAAGGAAACAGTAGTAGCTGTAGCTTCAGATTTCTGTGCTTTGTCAATTTTAGTTAGTCTTTGAAAAAATATCCTTTTTTGTCACTGAACTCCTTATTTTAGTTCACATGCCCCAAGGATTGAGAAGTGTGTTTGTAACACCTACAGTATGCAAGCAGGAGTGGTTTTCTTTTGCCTTTTATGATTTGTTTAGTGTTCTAAAAATATACACTCAGATGCCTATCCCTTTTTTTTTTTTTTTTTTTTTAAATTAAATTAAAACTGATAATAGGCCTGTGGAAAACTCACTCGGAGTTTTAGAAACCATTTGTGGCTAAGCCACCAGTTTTCTTAGTGAGGTCAGAGGAATAATTGTTGTCTTTGGTTTCAGATTCCATTTCTGAGTTTTGTTTATTTAGAATGCTCTGTGAATCAATTTAACTTCTGAAATCTGAGATTCCAGATAAAACAGACATGACTGGAGCTCTGACTGTACTCTAATTTTCTTCTAGCTGAAAGACACATATGTATATGTATAGTATCTTAATGTGAGAGGCATAAACATTACAGTATATTATTTTTGTGGATATTTTTAAAATATTGACACTTGTGTATTATTTTATATTGAATGCTAAAAAAAAGCTTCAGCGGCCTGTTCAAATAATATTACAATATACAAACAACTGTGGCTCATGTTGCTCCTACAGAAATCTGGCTAATGTGGAAGAAATTGGGACTTGCTCCTACATTAATCATATCATCACCATGACTACACTCTACATTCAGCAGGTACGTGGAATTACAACTCTCGTATATATTGCTGCTAGAAATACAGAAGGAGGATTGGGGGCTCAAGATTGGGAATTGGGGGGTCTGGATTTTCTTCCTAACTCTGCCACAAACTTCTTGTGTGATTTTAGGCAGGTCACACAAAGTTTTCTATCTTTAAATCAGAACAACAATACCTACCCATGTTACTGCAATAATTTGAGGCTTCTTTTATTTATATATATATATAAATGCATTACTGATCAAGAACAGGCATCGTTACATATAAACATGCAATGATTGAGCCTTCTTTTCAGCCTTTCATTAAATTCTACACTATATAAAAGGGCTTTACAATCCTTAGTTGAGAGTACTCTAGAACAGCCAAGTATTCAGTTCATACTAAGTTGGAGGAGTGTAGAATTTAATGAAAGGCTGAAGAGAAGGCTCAATCATTGCATGTTTATATGTAGTGATCCCTGTTCTTGATCAGTAATGCATTTTTTTACTGCTTATTTACAAGCATCTGAAAAGTCTCAATAGAACAGTTTTAAAATGTGTTCTAAGCAATTGAAGTTAAAAGAATTATTTTAGAAGAATTGGTTTCTTTAGTTAGGAGGTGATTTCAATACTTCAGTTTATGGTGCGTGTTGAAATGTCAGCCATACTTAGGAAGTATTTGGGTAGGGAATATTTAAAATTGTGGAGGTCTTTTTCCCCACAGTGTACATGTGAAATTGCCATTAGCAGCTGTGAGTGTTATGCACGTATATCATGAAGATAGTAGAACCTTTGAGTTGATAATTATTTTTAGTACATTGTATATTGCATATCTCAGTAAAGCAGAAGGAATGGAAGCTTGGACTGGGATTTTCAAAGGAGCCTAAGTGAGGCAGGTTCAAATATGCCATTGAAAGTCAGTGAGAATCGGATGCCCAACACCCTTAAGGTCTCTTGAGAATCCCAGCCTTAACTCTGTTGGTGGACTTCTTTCTTCCACAATTTGTGTTCCTAGAAGCATTCTGATCATAATTGTTTCTTTTCTCTCAGTTAAAAAGCAAAACAAAAGAGAAAGAAGTGGCAGATCAATCACCTATAGAAGAGTTTGTAAGACACGCATTGGCTTTTTGTGAAAGTCTCTATGATCCGTATCGAAACTGGAGGCAGCAAATTGCAGGGTATGTGTTTACCTGATATGGTAAATTCTAATACTGTGATAATTTCTTTAAAATGTTACTACAATGATATTTAATGGTTTCAACACAACCATGGTCACCCCACACCGAGCTGAAATGAGACATAATTACACTGACACACTTGTACTCTTGCATTTTAGCAGCTATTAGCATTGGTAGCACCGAGGACTAGATTTGATACCAATAAGCTTTCCCAAAGATATGTTCTGTATTGAAAACATGAATGAAGGAATCAAGAAAGTATCTCTTTGCACCAAAATCAATACTATGAAGCAGACATACTGATAATTATTAGGGTACTGTACTACACTGCCACTAAGAGTATTGGAGGTACTAATCTATCCAATTCCATCAAATAAAAACCCAGGTTTTTTTATTTGAAAGTTCTGGAGAGAATAGATAGCCAGGGTCCCAGCTGAGTACTTCCTGAGGTACATGTTTGGAAGCAGATTAGCGATGTATGCTTTATGCTGGGTTCTAATAACCGAAATAGTGTATGATTTTTTCTAGAGATGCTACCTGTTCCCTTATTTTAGTACTAAAAATAGAGATTGAGAGGAAATAATTAATCTATTACAAATCTCTACATACTTCTGCTTCCTTTTAAAACATTTATTAAACATTTCAAGTATACAAATTATAGTTTACAAAACAGATGTTGTTTTGTTAGCATTATTGTGGTATTCATTACCACAGTATCAAAACAAAATTTTAAAAGGCTCTGCATTTAGTTGGAAGCTGTTGCACTATGACCTACATAGCTGAATCAAATATGTGCCCAATCTTCATCTGAAAATTTTACTAGTAATAATTTCTTATAGTGGCTTTCCTATTTTCCCAGAAAATGGTGTCTTATGAATCCATCAGTTTTTCCAAGGGATAACAAAATTTCCCTACTACAGCTGCCCAAAATATGGGGAAAGGAAGGAGATAAGAGGAGGAAAACAATAGAGAGTTCCTTATCAAATAAGATCCCGTCACCGGAGACCTCAGGCCCTGAGAGGAGTGCTAGTGAGGCTCTGAGTACTTCAAGAACCATGAAGCATGTTAAGATTCCAACTAAGTCCCATACCTCAGCGGAAAAGGGCTTAGTACCAAAGAATGCTGCTACTAAGAGACCAGCTTCACTGGAATCAATCAACTGTGGAAGATTTACCTTTCAGTGGTCAGAAGCTTGTTGCAGATTCCATGGATGACTCACTTCATAACCTACTCTAGGGCAACACTTAGGTCTTTAGGGATATACATGCCTGCAAATAAAAGGAAGTTTAGCAGGTCTCAATCAGTACAAAGATCCCACCCTGCTCTATTTTCCACCTTCCCTAGGCCACTGAAACACTGGCTAAGAGGTTGAGGTTTTCAAAGAAAAAGCCTGCAACTACCTTGACTGCTTTATCCCAGCCTTCACCATCACGCAAATGCCAGTTTTTTGCTGGTTTGGTCATGAGACCCGACCACCCAATGACTAGGTTTTATCAGCTGCATGACACAACCCCCCTTTCTCAATTTGGTCATTGCCTCTCTATTTCATCAAAGATGGGAGGCTATAACATTGGACAAATGGGTATTGGAGGCCATTACTTCAGGTTATACTATCCAATTTACCTCCACCCTGCCCTTTCAACCCCTTTCCCCATCCCTTTTCAGGGACCCCCTCTCAGAGCAGTTGCTGCACAGGAGATCTCATCACTCCAGAGTCTAGGAGCCATAGAGCCAGTCCCACTTCAATACAGAGGAAAAAGGTTCTATTCAAGATATTTTCTGATACTTAAGAAAAATTAGGGTTGGAGGCCAATAGTAGGTCTCAGGCAATTGAATAAGCATGTCCGACATTTGAAATTCAGAATGGTGTCCCTAGCAGTTATTCCCTCCCTTCAATTTGGCAACGGCTTTGTGACCCTCAACCTCAAAGATGTCTATTTCCATGTAGTTCTTTGTCCTTCTCACAAAAGATTTCTTCATTTCACTTTCAATTGCAATCATTACCTTTACTGGGTACTACACTTTGGCCTGTCATCCGCCCCCATGGTAGTCTCAAAAATCATTGCAGTCATAGCTGCATTCCTCTGTCATCTAGGAATAACTGTCTTCCCTACCTCAATGATTGGCTCCTCAATAGTCGGTCATATCACGAGGTATGGTCAAGCAGTTCAAACAAGTTCAGGAAGGAAGGAAGATAAATCTCGAGAAATCGATCTTGACCCCCTACCCAACAAAATGTCTTTATAGGAGCGCTTCTGGATTCGATAACGGGCAAAGCTCATCTCCTGCTCGACCGGTTCCATGCTTTAAAGACCCTTATACAAAGCGTGTCTGTAGCTCAGCCCTCAAGTTCCAGCAAGGACATGTCTGCAACTGTGGGACACATGGCAGCTTGTGTTTTTGTGACACACAATGCCAGGTTGCATCTTTGACATCTCCAGGTGTGGCTCAGTACTGTTTTTATACCCAACAAGCACAGAGATCTGTATCCAGTCAGGTCCTACAGTCACTCACCTAGTGGATGAATCCATCCAAAATTTATGCAGAAATCCTGTTCAGCTGGAATTCCCCTACACTGGATGCTTACCTTTTTGTGTTGGGGATCCCATTTGGGCCCATGCACAGTCCAAGGCAAATGGTCACAACAGCTCTTTTACATCAACCTGTTGGAATTAAGGGCTGTCAGAAATGCTTGCCTCCACTTTCTTCCCTTACTCAAAATCAAGTCCATTAAGATCATCACAGACAACATAGCATGTGTGTAGTATATCAATCAGCAGGGCAGAACACGTTCCCCCTCGCTCTGCACCAAAGCAATAAAGCTTTGGAGCTGGTGCATAGCCAAGTGGATAGTCATCTTGGCTTCTTACCTCCCATGGATACAAACACCATGGCGGTTACCTGAGTAGACATTTCTCTAAATTACAAACGGGAGTTGGACTCTCGTGTCCTCAACAAAATATTTCTAGCTTGTGGATTTCCAGAGGTCAACCTTTTTGCCATAGCAGCAAACACAAAGTGTAGGAAATTCTGTTCTAGAGGGAGATTCAGTCCCCAATCTCTAGGAGACGCTTTCCTCATTACATGGTGAGATGGGGTATGCTTCCTGGCCCTGCAAGAGCGGAGTTAGGCCAGGTGGGCCAAATCAGCTGATTAGTCTGCAAACAGGGGAGCTTTAGGCTGGAGGTAGCTAATTAATGAAAGGGACAGGTGGGGCTTCTACAATAGACAGGAAATTGGAAGCAGAGGAGGGGGCAGGGAGAAGTCTGCAGTCACTCCCTGGGAGAAGGAAGGAATGTTTGGGGGGCTGCAGAGACAAGTTGCCTGAAGTTACTCCTTGGGAGAAGGGAGTGAAAAGACTGGCAAACCCAGGGGAGTGGTGAAGGCAAGGATTTGTGGAAGTGGCTCAGGGAAAGGCAGCAAGGTGCAGGGAACAGACCTTAGCTGCTGTGTAGAAGGTACCTGAACTGGAACCTGGAGGAGAAGGTGGGCCTGGGGCTCCCCTGCCAGCCACTGTGGGAGTGGCATTGTGAGGCAGTGAAGGAGAAGACTGCCTGAGACTACTGGAGAGCAGGAACCTTCATACACTTTCCCCTCCACCCCCCGGGAAAGGGGAAACCACAATAGTGACTGGAGGGCTGAGTCATGAAGAGGACAGCAGCGGCTCCTGAGAGCGAGAGAGGGGCTGCAGAGGAGAAGCTAATGGGATGTAACCACTGGAAGAAGCATTGGCCTGTCTGAGCTAATCCTCAGAACTGCCAGGACGTGGCACCATCCAGTGGTGAGCAGAGTAACCTGTTACACATGGACAAAGGGTATTTTCTGTGCATATCCTCCAACTCCATTGCTCTTAAATGTCCTTAAGATCAGACAGGACTAAACCAAAGACATTTTGATTGCACCAACTTGGCTAAGACAAGTTTGCTTTCCTTACTTCATCAAACTCACCTCTCGCCATCTGTGGTGGCTCCTGATCAAACCTCGACTGTTGTCTCAGGTTGTGGGTCAGACGCTTTACCCCAGTTTGAACATCCTGCAACTACAAGCTTGGTTCCTTAATGGTTCTCAGGACTAGAGATCACATGTTCATTGGAAGTACAACAGATACTCTTAAATAGCAGAAAGGAATCCACTAGACATATTTATCTTCGGAAATGGAGAATATATAACCTTTGGTGTAACTGGCGCCTTCTTTCTCCCATGCAGTTGTCTCTTTTCTCAGTCTTGGATTACCTTTTGGAATTGAAAAAATTAAGGCCTTTCTGTGAGTTCTGTCAAGGTTCATTTAGCAACAGGAATAGCTTTCCATGTGCCAATAGAAGGTTTCCCGGTATTTGCTCATCCAAGCATCGCAAAATTCCTGAAAGGACTTATTAATCTTTTTCTGCATATTAGAGCCCTTACACTGCTTTAGGATCTCAGCATGGTTCTTAACTGTCTCATGAAACAACTCTTTGAGACATTAGCAGTGTGCTCACTGCTACATCTGTCTATGATGAAGACACCCTTCTTGATGGCAATCACTACTACTTGAAGGATTGGGATGACTCTAATGGCAGACCCCCCTTTACTTTGTTCTCCAAGGAGAAAGTATCCTTACAACCTCATTGAAAGTTCTTACCTAATGTGTCCTCTGAATTTTATGTCAGCCAAGCTAGTCACTTTCTGTTTTTTCTTTTTCCCTAAGCTGCATCAGTCTACACAAAAAGTCTGCTTTTTATATGCTAAACGTTGAGGGCGTTAGCCTTTTACTTGAACAGAAAGACCCCTAGACTCTTTGTTTCTGTAGCAGATAGACCTAAGGGAGTGCCAGTCTGGCAGTCTCCACTCAGAGACTTTCTAAATTGATCTCTGGATGTATTATTGCCTGTTATGGTTTTGCTGAGGTTACACCTCCCCTAAGAGTGACTGCATGCTCTGTTAGATCACAGTCTACATCTGTAGCTCTACTCAAAGATGTTCTGGTTGCTGAAATCTGTAGGGCTGCACCATGCTCCTCA